CCAACACTCTACCCACTGCCCTATTGGAGGCCAGTTGTGAAATAAGCTACACATTGCGCAACAAGAACCATGACGGCTTTTTATACTGAGGAGGAGGAGTTTCACCTGGGGGTTGCTAGGTGAGGGGCTGAACGCAGGATGCAGTGGGTTGTCGTACGGCTTGTGACATCACAAAATGACGGCAGTATAAAACTTATCGTTAATATACATTAAAAATACATTTACTTACAGTAAATATGCCCCTGGGTGCATTTTTTTTGGTCCTAGGACTGTTTTTTTAAGAAGTACATACCCAAAGTTGAGTAAAAAAACCTTTAAAAAGTGAATTTTGCGTAATAGGTCCCCTTTCATAGAATTTTTGGACCAAAAAAAAATCGCAGTATATCGCAATATATCTCCTTGCTTACAGTATCGCAGTATATCTGGATATATCGTATCGTGACCCCTCTGTCATGATATGTATCATATCGCCAAATTCTTGCCAACACACAACCCTAATATAACCCCTTTTGCCTTATTCGGTGGTCAATAGAAATGGGAGATAAAACCCTAGAAGAAAAAAAACAACTTTAGAGATAAAACACATAATTCTTCTCTTTTCTTCACAGTTGACTCGATTATCAGAATCTATCAGACTTTTCTCCCAACCTGATGGTGTTGTGCAGGTAGCTGGTGAAATTCTGATGATTGTAATAAAATGTCTGAATTACAATTTTTCTCCAGGAAATTGGCATTGAGGCATCATCCTGATAAGAACCCAGATAACCCAGAGGCTGCAGAGAAATTTAAGGAGATCAACAATGCCAACTCCATCCTCAGTGATGAGAACAAACGGGCTATCTATGACGAGTATGGGTCTATGGGTCTGTACGCAGCAGAGCAGTTCGGTGAGGACGGAGTCAAGTATTATTTCCTCATGTCCAAGTGTTGGTTCAAGGTTTGTATTAAAGCAAAAGTCCAGAACATTTACACACAAGTCTTAAAGCCAGTGTGTCCTAAAAACTGTTGTTGTGGCTCTTTTTTAGACCCTGTTCTTTTGCTGCCTTATCTTCACCTGCTGCTGCTGCTGTTTCTGCTGCTGCTGCTGTGGGAGGTGTAGAGGTGCAGAGGACGAGGAGAACACTCCCAACATGGACCCTGACGATCTGGAGGATGAGTTGGGAGACCAGGGAGCAGGTGAGTGGAGTTTTTATTTACACTGGACAAATATTGTTTAAACCAGCTGATGTTAACAACAAGCTTTAGATGGCAGTTTGAATGTACACCGAAGAAARCCTGAGCTGCTCTGCTGTCGCTCACACAAACTGCCCTCGTTCTCTGAAATGAATCAACGCTGAAAACACACCAACATTTACAGAGATACTTCCTGGGTAAACTCAGTCTTAATTGTATAAATTAGGGTCATTGACGAGAGGCTAAAATTAAAATTTAAAAAATATTTATTTCTATTACAATTGCTAAAACATTAGAAATGTTGTTCACATAGAAATCATAATTAAAAATTAAAATGAGAVCTTTTAAGAGTTTTTTCATCAATATGAATTAACTGTGGTCTTAAAAATGTCATGTAGTGCGACTGTGATTTATAGAGAGTCAGCATGGCCCACAATCAGTACAATTTGCAGCATATGGAGGGTTAGTGAACTTGTACATTTACAGGTCAGACCTGTTGAGGGATAGTTAAACTAGTTAAAGTGGAAAAATCTTATGAAGCCCAAACAAAAACCAGCAGGTGAGGGACTCCAGTAGCTGATTGCTGACATTTGTTCAGTCACACAAACCCAGTAAAGTTTATTCAGAGTGTTTTTGTTGGTTTTTGTGGAACCTTACAACAGCAGAATCACATTTTAGAGTCGTAACTGGCTAGACTCGGTTTTGTTTTTAGTCCTATTTTTTTCAATGACTCTAACCTATTGAATTTATAAAGTAGTACTGATCACATGGGAACACTTTTAGTGTATCAGTAGCTGCGTTTCCACTGACAATGAAAATGTGCAAATTAAAATTTCGAAAATAAATTTAGTCAATGGAAACACGTCAATTTCGAAAAAAATTACGTTTTTCGACGAAATGGTTTTGCGCTAGGATGAGGTGGTTTTTCGGCCGTATYGAAATTGGTGTTTTTCACAAAACTGCAATGGAAACACTTTTTTCACATCACAGGAGTCACGTGATCAACAACGAGCTGTTTCTACTGGAGAAAAAGACGATGACGAAGAAGATAACAGGAAGTAGAAGTAGTAGTAATATCACAGAAGTAGTATAAAGTAGTAAACTCACCGACAACAGTTTCCCAAAAAYGCCTCAAACGTAGCCGCTCCCAAGTATAAGGGGCTTGTCTCTGGAAAGCCTCGATAAAAGACGCCGATGTCTCCTCTGATGATGAGCGCTAGTGTCGTGGTAGCAACATGCTATGTGTTTACATCCATCGCTGCCATGTTTGTAATGACTTATCACGAGAACAAACGTATTCACGTGTAACTTTAACATTTCTTACTTAATGGAAACACCGCAATTGCGAAACAGTTTTTCGACATTAACAGAATATCGATAAAGTTTTGCGCACATTTTCAATGGAAACGCAGCTAGTGTTTAGATCTTTTTTACACAATATTCTCTTGTTGGACAGCAATTCTTTTTAGTGGCTTGCTAAAGTCCTAATATCTCCAGGAGAAAACAAACAATGACACCACAGGTGTTGCTATAACACTGTTCAGAAAAGCTTTTGTGTAAACATTTAGTGTGTTAGTTGAAGTTTTTAAAAATATAGCTGTGAGTTTGTTTTAATTTTCTTAAACGTGATTGTTTTGGAATCCTTTTAGACCTATGACTGTCAAAGGCTTTCTATTGTTAGTGACCAATGTGAGCGCAACTCCTCCATTGGTTTTTACAGCACCAGGCAGTCTCCCATCCAAGTACTAACCATACCCAACCCTGCTTCAGAGATCAGATGAGGTCTGATGGGAAGTGGGTGGGATGTAGGATAAATATGAAATTAATTTGGAACCAGCAGTTTTTCTTAGCAACTGGGACACTTGTACCAACCTGCCCCAAAAACAACCAGCAGTTTAGTTCTCAGGGCACAAATGACTTTTGATTGGTGAGTGAAGTTTTTATGTGGAATTCTGTTTTACAGCAGAAGAGTGTGTAGTAGATTTACAGCCGGGCCCCAGTGAAACTTCAGGTAATTGTTTTTTTCTTTTCTGCTGCTTTGTGCTTCATGGCTTAAAGAGGCTTTCCCTGCTCACTTACGTACTAATATTTTGTCCATGGAGCAATGCTTGATGGTTTTCTTGATAACCAGACMTTTAACTGGGACAGAGGTCCACTTTACAGCAGACAGAACAGTTTGCTGAATCTCTGTTAGTTTAACAAGAAATCACTGAMGGTCCTGAATAGTCCAGTCTAAAGGCTGGAACATATTCGTTCTGAAGCTGAACAGCCGATGCGCGGTCACGTCGTTGTTCGGCCTTCATTTTCGCACACACCCTTCATAGCCCCGGAGACACACCGAACCGAGCTCCTGGGAACCCCCTCCCACTGCAGCATACGTCACTGCACGGGGTTTCTTCCCGCTGGAGTTTACAGTGCAGAAAACAAAAGTCTGAGACCCGTCACCCGATGTTATTTATCCACAAATCTGTGGTGGTTAAAGCTTCACCGTTTTTATCAGATTCTTCTGTGCACAACGTCTGTTTATTCTCCATTCATGAGGTTTTGACTGTTTGACTATTTTTTTTTAATAACTGCTTCTGGGTACAACAGTTGGCTCTGGAAGCTATTTTTTTATTTATTTTTGAGGTGGTTGTGCTAAAAGCACTTGGACGCTGCTTTTTACTTCGAACAAACATGCCAGGAACTTCAGACCAAYCACACATTACCATCGTAGCAGGAGGGAGGTAAAACGTTCTGCCGGCGGGTTGTGATGCAGAAAACACCAGTGATGTAATTTTTGTCATGAAACTGCAACAACCTGTGCTGATTTCAGCAGAGGGAGTGTGAAGTAGGCTTAGGTCCAGCTGTTTCTGATTGCACTCTTTACTTTTACAGCCTTTTCCTGCTCCTGTCTTAGTTTTTGAGATGTTGCTTCAAATAAATTCAGACYTAACGTACTTTCTCCAAAAACGATTTTACAATTTTTTAGTTAAAAAGGGTAATACCTTTAGTTTTCATTATACTGTATATACTGTACAACTTGGGTTTGTGAGGTTAGCAATTTATTGTATTCTGAGTTTATATTTTAAACAATGTCCAACATTTTTGGAATTGTTTTTTGCATCTTYAAAATGCTTTAGTTGTCTAAACTAACTGAGGCACTAACCTTTGCAACTTTACACTTTTCTTTTTTTGGGGGTGGGGGGGCATTTAATAACACTTGTGATTCATAACTAAATGTATTTCTGGTTTCAGTTTCACTGTAGAATCAGTGTTTATGACTTCATTTTCATGTGTAACAACTGCATTTATCAATAATGTATCTTTTTTCTGCTCATCCTCTTTCCTATGCTCACTTACCAAATCTGTTTTCCATRTGTTGTTTTGAGTACTGTACTTATTTTTGAAATAGGCAAAAATGCAAAAGAGATTTGAAATCCCATATTTCAGTTTTTACGTTTGAATAAACTGATGAAAGACAGTTAGTATGCTAAGTGGTACATTTCATGTGCAGGAAGTACAGCCTCCAGAAATGGAACACTAACTTCAGATGAGTTGGGAATTATTTTTTTAAAGGCAAAACAAACTTAAATAAGCAGTTTGGAAATAATTAACATAACCRATCTGGTGGCACCGGTGCATGGCAGCCTCGCCTCTGTCAGTGTGCCCCAGGGCAGCTGTGGCTACAGTGTAGCTTAGCACCATCAATATGTGAATGATTGAAGTATAAAGCACTTTGGGGTCCATATGGACTTGATAAAGTGCTATAAAAATTCAAGCCATTTACTATAACCATAACCAGGTATTAAAGAAGTACACTTCAGTGTTCCCACTGACCAAAACATCAAATCACTGAAATGTGGAAAACATAAAACAGGAAATGTGAGAACTGAGGAAAGTTTGAAGAGAATAACAGAATATGAACCAGCAAATGTCTCATAAAGGTGCCATGATCAGAAAACTCCAAACTCTGCAAACAACAAAATTAGTTCCACCGTCTTGATGAGGACAAAGACGAGCTGTAAAGTAAGACAGCCTGACCGCAACCCAACAAATGATGCTTTGTTGAGGTAAAACCTTTTGAGACTTACTTTATACATACTTACATACGACATACTTTTTAAATCAGTCTGAGTCAAGTTTAGGGTTGGATATTGAAAGGGCTTATTTCGATACCGGTGCTAAATCGATACTTTCAAAATKGTACCGGTTCCTAAACGGTATTTAAATCAGTAATTTAAAAATAATTAAAAAAAAAACACACACACAGAGGTTTATGAAGCAATGATTATTTCTGAGTCAAAGTCAAACTTTAAATTGACCAACATATTAACTTAAAACCATTAATAATTTGTCTTTGCACCAAATATTCTTAAAGCATTTGTTGTAGGTGGAAGTTTCTGCATCGTTTTTTAAAGTGACACTACATTTTGGACCATTTTGCATTTGGCGTCTTGACTATAATATATAATATATAACTTTTAACTGCAGAGGCACCTGTTAGCCCCTCTGCATGAACTCTGTTCTACTCGATTCACTTTGGATCGGGTCGGTTCTGCTCAATGTCCGTGTGTCTCCACGCAGTGGGTGTGATAATGTGCGGACCGTCCGCAGCGGCTTCAGCTGTTGTGTTAAAAATAAAATAAAATAAAACAAAATTGGACTTCACTTTTATTTATTTATTTATTTGTTTATTTATTTATTTATTTATTTTCATGGTGCTGTTTAGCTAAGTGCTTGTGGGTGGCCAGTTTGTTGGAAACCTCTCGTGATCTGCTCAGCTTCGTCTCCTTCACCTCTCTTCAGGAAGTCTTTACAAGTTCTGCCTTTCCCAAAAAGGCAGTTTTATTTCACCATGTCGTCGTATCGCGCAGCGMGCTCGTATTCCTAAACAAAAGCAGCTCTCTCCAGGAGGGAATTTGCTGTCAGTCAATCCAAGAGTTAATCCACGAGCAGAATTCTGCTAGAACTCTATTATTCCTAAATAAAAGATGATCTTAGGTTAAAACATGTACRTGAAAGATGATGGGTGATGCACATTCCTACAAGGACTGCTTGGCCTTTAGGAACGGATGCCAACAACTCAATAAAAACATTTTTTCATTTACAGACATTGGTCACTGGAGACGTTAAAAGTATTTTGACTAGTTTCACATGTCTAAATAAACCAATTTTCTGTTGCATTCTCCAAAACTTCCCAACTTTTCTGTGGTATGGTTCTACATATTCTTAATCTTTTACGATTCAGAATTAATTAAATTCTCTTGATTAATATACTAGAATCATTAACACGGGGAAAGACTGGAACACGTTTATTAAATGACTGACAGGCAAATGTTGTGGCTCTTCTGCAGGTGAAAACGTACCAGTGGTGGTTCAGCCTCAATCGATCAACGGCACGTCGAGCCCCTCAGAGATGCACGCCGTGGATCGGTGAACTGGTCTGTTGATCCCTGATCATATTGGACTGCATGATAAAAGCAGGTCTTCTCTAAAAGAACCAAACCTGACCTGCTGAAAACTGTGTTTACRTGAATCAAGGGACTGGGACCAGTGTGGGTTTATTTTTAAATGTGTCTGTTTTTGTCTTTGATTCTGTCTCATTTGTATGTTTTATGGGTTTTTGGAAGTCKGTGTTCTGCAGTGATCAAGCCATGTGGCATCAAACCACTGGTTGTTTCAATAATTGGTCCTCTTGTGGACTTTAAGCTCACAGCGGCCATAAATGTTTGTTTAATCATCTTATTCTGGTGCCGACCACCTCAGTTTTGCAGCTCATTATGTTTTACTGTGGAATTAAACTGATYGGTCTCATTAACTGGGTCTTCATGTAGGGTTTAGGATAAATGGATGGATAATTGTTTTATTGCACATTTTCCTKTTGAGTAGTAGTAATTGTTTTTTTATGCTAACCTATATTAAAGAGAGAATACTTTTTTTCTACCTTTACTTGGGTTGTAGAGATAATTTATGTTGACTTCATGTAAAATGATTGTAATCAAACCAAATCATTAAAAACATCTTATGGGTTTCAAAATGARCAAATAGCACAATGTTTATCTCACCAGTTTGGATTTTAACCAACACCAGATGGAGGAGGAGTTTTCACCTTTAGCTTGGTTGGACTTTCAGGACTTTCATGAACTGATTCACAGATAACTGTAGGTGGAGCTGGAGTCAGGACGGGGTAGTTTTATCACATGGGGGTTGGTGAAAATCTGACATCTTTGAAAAAGACAGGATGCATCAAAGTATTTAGTGTTTGATAAACCAGAAAAGGTTCTAACCGGATGGATGGATGGATGGATGGATGGATGGATGGATGGATGGATGGTGGATGGATGGATGGATGGTGGGTAGATAGATGGATGGTGGGTGGGTGGATGGATGGATGAATGGTGGGTAGATGGATGGATGGTGGGTGGATGGGTGGATGGATGGGTGAATGGAGGGATGGATGGATGGTGGGTGGACGGAGGGATGGACAGATGGATGGATGGATGGATAGACAGAGGGAGGGATGAATGGGTGGATGGATGGATGGATGGAGGGAGGGATAAATGGTGGATGGATGGCTGATGGATGGATGGATGGTGGGTGGATGGATGGGTGGATGGATGGAAAGATGGATGGATGGACAGAGGGAGGGATGGATGGGTGGATGGATGATGGATGGACGGAGGGAGGGAGGGAGGGATGGATGGTGGGTGGATGGATG